AACGTGTGCGCCAGATGAAGACGATGCCTTAGACAGCGTTGGCAGTTATGTCCAGCAGTGTGTAAGGACAAGTCACGCTCTGGTAGATGGGAGCATTTTGGTTGCTTTAAGTTTGCTACTGAAGGGCTGGGACATTTCATTGGGCCTTGAAACTCCAGACCTCTTTACTCACAAAGGCAGACAAGTTAGGTGAGCCAGCTCAGCCTTTATTCCAACTTCCTAACCAAAAGGCTATGAGGTTGAAAATATATTTCTCAGACTCTTCTGCAGCAAGGGTTTCAGATGTGGCTTCAAAAATGCCCATCAGAGATTGAGATTTGCAAATATTAACTACTATATATAAAAATAGCTAAAAAAACTAAATTTCTTCTGTATAGCACAGGGAACTATATTTAATATCTTGAAATAACCTTTAATGAAAAAGAATATGAAAAGGAATTCATACATATAAATGTGTATATGAATGACTGGAACATTGTGCTGTGCATCAGAAATTGACACATTGTAACTGACTATACTTCAACTAAAAAAAATACAGATAAATATAATGCCCATCAGCAGCATCTGAGTGTCACTGAAAGCAGAAAGCCAGATGAATGGAGGCAGAGGTGGTTGCAGGAGCTACGTTATTTTGCTGGGGTGGATGCAGCCGGCATGTCAGATATCTAGAAGGAATGCTCACAATAGCCACTCACTGATCTGCAAGTGAGTTAGGGTAACAGCTTCCTGAAATCCTCCCCACCCCTCCTGATGAGCCAGATGTCTGGCGTTTCTCTGGAAATCACTAGGCGCAGCCTGGAACTCAAAGGTAAAAATTAAAAACTGCAGTCAGACAGCGAAGAGCCTGGCAGGATGCGTTGGACAAAAGTAGGTCAGAATCAACAAGGAATGGGGAGGGGACAGAACGTGTACTGAGGGCCGTGACTTCAGTGGCGGATTGTCTGTGTTGAGGACTCTGAGTCAGTATGAGTAGATGGATTTGTGTGGACAAAAATGGTGGCCATTGTTCAGATAAGTGTGTGATTTGGACTATATTTATTAGAGGAGGGTTTTTCCCCTTCAACATTGATCATTTCTAGGGAGCAGAAAAATACTCTGCCACACAACATCTAAGTGCAAAAGAGATGCTACGGGATGATGGTGGTATGAAAAATTTCAGTTCTGCAGTTCCAAGATTTCCTTAATGAGGTTAACAGCAGTTGGTACTTAAAATAAAATAAGGTATTTATAATAAAGACATCATCATATGTATATATCCTTAAAGATACACATATGGTGCTATAAGTGGGCCTGAAATGTGTTCTGCATTCTAAAATCCGATGAAATAAAATCAGTAGCTCAATATGCCTGTAGGCTCAATAAACATGATGTAGCTAATGATCACAGAAAGCAAGATCAGTTAGGAAACTTGAGATTTGTCTTTTCTAGTGTCAAAGTTAATATTTTTTGCTTTACTTAAAAAGCATTTTTTTAATTAGGGCTGTCAGCATCCTTTGGTATATGAGGTTCAGTAGATGTGTTCAGATGTTCTAGACAGTGAATCAGAGCAAAGACTGAGGTTTAGACAGTAGTTAAATGCCTCACCCGTGTGATCACCATCCACATATTGCTATACTGAAAATCCTTAAAAGTGAGATCTTCATTAAAGCAACGAAAAGAGAGGGAAAAAAATAGCCACAGACTAGA